TATAGGGTTTCCAAGGAGTTGTTGGTGAATTTGAACTACCAACATTGTGGTTCAAACTGATTCAAACTGACTTTGCAGTCCAGTTCATATTGTTGTTGTTGTTGTTGTTGTTGTTGTTGTTGAGTCGTTTCCGACCAGTAGCGACCCTGTATAGGGTTTCCGAGGAGCAGCTGGTGAGCTTGAACCTCCAACTTTGCAATTCAAAGTTTGACTTTGCAGTCTGGTACCTTAATCCACAGTGCCACACTAGGATTCCCCAGTGCATATTGTGCAGTCAGATCTGACTCATAGCAACCCTGTATAGGGTTTCTAAGGTTGTAAATCTTCACGGGAGCAGAAAGCCTCATCTTTCTCCCGCGGAACAGCTGGTAGTTTCGAACTGTTGACCGGGAGATTAGCAGCCCGTTTCGTAATCACCACACTATTAGCAGGTACAATTTAGGATCAGAAATGCTCACTCATCCTTAGCCTGTCAGCCATGCTCTTGGTCTCAGCCCTGCTGAGGCAGTGCTTCAAAGCTCTATTAGTGCTGCTAATAAGTACCCTTAGGGTCTTCCGCTGCATATAAGCCTCAGCCCTGAGGTACTGTGCTGTATCTCTGTGAATAGGGAAACCTAGCTCAGTTAATTAAGTGCTGGGAGGTACCCCTTTCTAAGTCAACCTTCTGCTATAAGGCACTCAGCTGAAAACACTGCTTTGTCTTATGTTTTTGATGCTTCTGCTGCCTCTGCATCACATCTCTTCTTCGTAGCCATCAGTGCACAGGAATCTCAGGCTGCAAAGACATGCTTTGATTCTGGCTCTTCTTTCTTTGACTTCTAAGATGACTTGTTTTAAACTCACCAGCAGTATGTCAAAATGACCAATCCCCATGTTAGAATTTCACACACCCTATAAAACACTGGGGGGAGTCCTGGTGTGGCACTGTGATTTAATGCACCAGATTGCAAAGCCGTTTGAACTGCAAGGTTGGCGGTTCAAGCTCACCAGCTGCTCCTTGGAAACCCTATACAGGGTTGCCATGGGTTGAAATAGATTTGACAGCAATTCACAACAACAACAAATAAAACACTGTACTGCAAGGTCAGTTTCAACCACAAGGTCGGTGGTTCAAGTTCACCAGCTGCTCCTTGGATATCCTATATAGCGTTGCTATGGGTTGGAATTGACTCAACGGCACTTAACAACAACAACAACAATACCCAATCATTTGTGGAGCACTGGTAAGACTGTAGGATAAGCACTGGACTGCTAACCAGAAGGTCAGCAATTCAAACCACCCCCCAGCCACTCCTCTGGAGAAAGATGAGGCTTTGTGCTCATATAAAGATTTACAGCCTCAGAAACACAATACAGAGTTGCTATGAGTCAGCACTGAGTCACCCAACAAGAATAATGACTATTAGGTCAGTTTTTGTAGTAACTACTAATGTATTGCAGTTTAACATTTAGTAGTACATTAAATGTGGCGTTTTAATCATTTTGAGAAATGTGTCTGTGTTATCTAGATTTTAAAATGTGCTGTTGTATAGTTCTCCTGCTGTGGCGCTGTCCGATTAACACTGGACTGCCAACCACCAGGCAGGCGGGCCGTGCAAACATACCAGCTGCTGCTCTTTGGAAACCCTCTACAGGGTCACTATGAATCAGAATTGACTCGACAGTACTTAACAACAACAACAAAGTTCATATTGATCCATTGTTCATAATTTTCATTGAAAAGACACTTTTAGTTATTTATTCCTTTAAGTTCTGGAATTTATTTGTATGTCTTTCTTGATAAGTCTTTTCAGATTGTGTCTTACAGTGTTTTCAAATAACTCGATTCTAATGTCATTGATCTCTATTGTGATGCTTTTGTTCTGTGTTTTCTTTGGTTTAGTTTGCTGGTAATAGTTCTGTTTTCATTAAGGTATTCCTTTATTTTTACTATTTATCACTTTTTTTATATCTTACTTTTTATCTCTTGCCCCATATTTTTGGTCATAATGCTTTACATAGTTTTGTTGTTGTTGTTGTTGTTGTTTAAACATATTTCCTGATAAATTATCCAAAATTATAAATAGTTTTAAAAGTTCTGCTTTAGCTGTGTCTTTCAAATTTAACATCAAGAATTATAATTATTATTCAATTATATTTTATTTTTTAGTTCCTTTTAAAATCTTGGACTTTTTTGTAATATTAATTATTTGTGAACATGAACGTTTCAAAGTTCCTTATATTGATTTGTAGTTTTATTTCATGATATTTAGAGAACATAACTTGTGTGATACTGGTTTTTTGAAAACTATGAAGGTTTATTTTATAGTTAACTACACAACACAGTCTGTTTTGTAAGTGTTCTGTGTGTTCTTCCCCAAACTGGGACTTGTCTATCTATTGTTAGGTTTGTTGTTGTTAAGTACCGTGGAGTCAGTTCTGACTCCTAGTGAACCTGCACAGGGTTTCCGAGGCTATAAATCTTTACAGGAGCAGAACACCTCATCTTTCTCCTGTGGAATCACTGATAGTTTTGAACTGCCGACCTTGAGGTTAGCAGCCCGATTCGTAACCACTATGCTACCAGAGCTCCTTAGTGTTAGGTTTAAGACATATAAAATCAAGGTTGGAGTCTGGTGATACTGGTGATTAGTCATTGGGTGGCTAACTGCTAGGTGAGAGATTCAAACCCACCAGTGCTCTGAGGGAGAAGGATGAGGCTGTCTGTTTCCATAAAGATTTACAGTCTTGGAAACCCTATCTATGGTCACTATGAGCCAGAAATGAGTTGATGACAGTGAATTTGGCTGGTTTGTTTTAATATCAAGTTATTTGACATAAGAGTGGTGTCCTGGTTTGGTAATGTAGAATAAACATTAGACTACTAACTGCAAGGTCAGTGGTTCAAACCTACCAGCCACTCCTCTGAAACCTTATACAGGCTCACTGTGAGTTAGCATGACTTGAAGGCACTTAACAACAAAAATGATAAGGCTAACAGTTGTCAACTCCACCAGCTGCTCTTCAGAAACCCTATACAGGCTTGCTATGAGACATAACCAAGTCAACAGCAATGAATAGCAAAAACCTTATTTAAGACCTAACTCAAATTACACTTGTTCCAAGACTTTTCCTAACCTTATCTGTTCTTTGAATTTTAAAAGCAATTATTTATTTCAGTGTACCCCAGTCAATGGACGATGGTTTTAAGCTGCAAGTCCTTTATATTACTCTATTTTGGTAAATATGTTCTTTTTTAGTAATAACAAACACTACCAATGAAAGTTCATTAAAATTCACTTCAACACTCCTGGACAACAGATTTTTTTCTCCTTAATTATGCAGCATTATAATGTCCTAGTGTGGTGCTGTGGGTCAGTGCACTGGACTGCAAGGTTGGTTTGAAACGCAAGGTTGGCAGCTCCTTGGAAATCCTGTAGTTACCGTGAATCACAACCGACTCAACAGCACTTAACAACAACAATATGCTTAATTATTTTAATACAAATTTATGCATAAAGTCATTGTTATGAGTTTGAATTTATTTCCTCTTGTATTTGGTGAATCTTGTAAAGGAGACGCAATGGACTGGACTGTCTTCCTTTTCCTTTCCTCTTTGTTGTTGTTATGTGCCGTGGAGTCAGTTCCCACTCATAGTGACCTTGTACAGGTTTCCGAGGCTGTAAATCTTTACGGGAGCAGAAAGCCTCATCTTTCTCCCAAGGAACAGCTGGTAGTTTTGAGCTTATGACCCTGAGGTTAGCAGTCCGATTCGTAACCACTACACTACCAGAGCTCAACTGTGCTAAGCTATCAATTTGGGATGGCTCCCTCCTAAGGACACAGAGTTTAAGTCAAGTATTAAATTGACCATAGAGATTTCTAGGCAGGTCACAATCTCCTAGTTTGTTATTCAGCTAATGACATGATTGTGTCAAACAACAGTAATAGTCATTAAGCCTTCTGAGCACTGGTAACAAACCTGACCTTGAGCTAGTGCTTTGTGGAATATAAGAGAAGATGAAGACAATGTGTTGCCCCACACTGATCTGCCAGTGTGGCTATTACACAGAGCACCAACACAGTTGAAAACCACTCATAGTGGGATGTTGTTGTGTGCTGTGGAGTCGGTTCCGACTCATAGTGATCCTGTACAGAGTTTCCAAGGCTGTAAATCTTTACGGGAGCAGAAAGCCTCATCTTTCTGCTGGAACAGCTGGTAGTTTCGAACTGCTGACCCTGAAGTTCGCAGCCCGATTTGTAACCACTACACTACCAGAGCTCCTTAGTGGGATAAGTGAGGTTATATTGAAGGGTTGCAGTCAAGATGAAGTACATATGGTTTGTTGGATATAAAACTCATGATCTGCTTTGTAAACTTTCATTCAATTCACAATAAAAGGTTAAAAAAGAAAAACATTGAAGCTAAATTATGCTAAGAATGGAGGAAGACATTAGCTTTATCAGGTATGTTCTACTGCTTTATTGATTTATTCACACAACCCCCCCTTCCCCTTTTATTTTTAATAGAAAAAATCAGACAAAGATATGCAGACTTGCCTGGAGAATTGCATATTATTGAACTTGAAAAGGATAAGAACGGACTTGGACTCAGCCTTGCTGGTAATAAAGACAGGTCTCGCATGAGCATATTTGTGGTGGGAATTCACCCAGAAGGACCTGCTGCCACAGATGGAAGAATGCGCATTGGAGATGAACTGTTAGAGGTGAGAAGCATATATTTTTAATCTTTCTTTCTATTGGAGTGGAGGAGTGCAAGGTAATTCGTAGGAAAATGGAAAGAAGAAGAATTTTAACAAATTGTATTTTCTTCAACTATTTAAAATCTTTTTCCAAAGCAGTAGCAAAACTCAGATTGTTGCTTGCAAATGTTTACTTGCAGCTTAAGTAAAGAATATGCTTACAAATTAATTTAAGGGCTCGTCAGTAAAATGTTGTAGAACTGTGAGTACACTAAAAGTATAGGGATTATTTTTACTGTCAATTCAAAGTGGTTCAAAATGAACTTGATAGTGTACTAATCTAATAGTGCTCATTTCGGGGAATGGTGGTAGAGCCAACAAAATCTTATGAATTATTTTTGTCAAGGAATGACTAATATCTTAAAAGCTATTGGTAATATGGGTTCAGGTCATGTAGATTCCTCATTTAGGAATATGATCGAGATAAAAGAAGGTAGAGAGAAATCTGAACCTCTAGTAGTTACCCTCTAGATAATTTCATTAATAATCTGAAAAAAGTTATCCTTATTTTCTTAAACTTTAAATCAGGACTTCTGTTTAAGGTCATCTTGATTTGATATCCACTCATTTGTTTATTTACTCATTCCTTCATTTTTTCATTTAGCTAACATTTTTTATTTATTATTATTATTGATCGTAGTCCAGAAACAGAAAAGTGGATGAATACGTGCAGTCTCTTCAGTTAAAAGTTCACAGCTTAGAAGAAAGTAGACATTAACATATGTTGGTATACCAGAATTAAAACAGCATCTGTTGTTAAATGTCATTGAGTTGGTTCTGATTCATAGCGACTCTGTATAGGGTTTCCAAGGTGCAGCTGGGTTTGAACAACAGACTTTGTGGTTAGTGCAGTCCAGTGCTATAACTTCACACTTAAAATTACAGCTAATATACATTAGATGCCAAGCACAACAAGTCTTTTACTTTTGTTGTTATTTTAATGATGCTGTTGGTTTTCAGTCATGCAGTTTGACTTTTTTTTTTTTTCATTTCTATGCTACATCTTTATTTGATTTTGCCTTGAAATCTCATGTTGCTACTGAATTTACAGCTTACCTTTTTTTTTTCATGTTTTATTGTGAATTATATGATATTTTACATGAGAGAACTTTAGTTTTACATTCATTCCACCGTATATTGTTTCATTGCCATGGTTCCAATCCCCTCCAT